ATCACCAGGAGCTAGATGGGCGTTTAACCCTTCCTCTACTTTTTTCTAGCTTTGTTAAAAAGTAACAGCTTTACATTGAGATACACATAAATAATAGGTTAAAGTTGTTAAAGGTGTTACCTGTCTCAATCACACTCGTGGTAACCCTCCCCAATAATCTGCACCACCATGTGGTACCCGCAGTACCATGTGCATTAGATAAGGTTGTGGCACAGACTTGTTCACTTGTGGTACTGCATAGCAAACACAATGGGGGGTTCATTTCTTGTGATTGTGGTATGTGGATACCCCATAAACCTACCCTTGCAACTTAAAGTAAGAGTATAGGTCTGCTTTAAAAAAACGTGAGAAACAGTGTTCTAGAAAATTCTAAAGCTCCACTTTGTTTTCATGAATGCAGCACCGTTTTTGCCTTCCTCCGTATCAGCTGTGGGTACAGGATTCGCTACACGGAGGTTTTCTATGTATTTTTATATCTTATCCTATCCTATTGAATGAAATAGATGGACTTGGTTTTGTCTCAACCTAACTATGTAACCATTGCTACATAATAAGAGATACGATAAAATGACTAAGATCTGACCATTATACCTGGACAAAGGATGGGCTGGGTGTATTATATTTGGACTTTGATATTTAATTAGTGACAGTTGCCCATAGACTGATAATGTGTAACTTACGGTATAAGGTCTCTAGCCTTTGAATGTTCAGTCTGTAAATGATTATAAAACTGGCCTAAAGACCTCATTCATAGTGTGCAGATTAATGATTCATACTCTGAATGATGTAAGGCTGTTAGCGCTGTTACCCCATGGCTCATTGATGGCACCATTATGTTTTAATCTGTTTAAAGGTGTTAGTAGAGCTATGTCAAAGATTCAGAACTTAAAGCGGAGTTCCACTCATCACCCTGTCAAAAAATAAAAGTCAGCAGCTACAAAAACTGTAGCTGCTGACTTTTAAAAAACAGCCACTTACCTGTCCCTTGCTCCCGCGGTGTGTCCCCCGCAGCCCGTTTCACTGGCCGTCCTGTATTCTTGGAGGCCGGCATCTTCAGTGTGGGCACCCAGCTGCGACTGCTTGTGGCTTCACAGTTGGGTATCCATTGCGCATGCGCAAGTAGTGCTGCGCTTCATAAATGGTCCTGTAGTCTTCTGGGACCTATCACGTGTCCCAAAAGACTACAGGAAGGGAGGACACCTTCCGTTTCGGGATTGCCTAGGCAATCGGACCGGAAATGGGAGTGGGTACCTGTAAAATTCAGGTACCCACTCCCCCCGCCCCTCCAAAGGTGCCAATCCTTAATGGGGAGCGGGAGAGCAGTCCTTAAAGCGGAACTTCCCCTTTTGGGTGGAGCTCCGCTTTAAAGCGGAATTAAACTCTCTCAATCAACATTAAAGTGGTTTTAAACCCTTACATATACCCAGTGAATTGACCTCAAGTGATAAACAGAGATGAAGCAAATCCTACATAAGTTGTACCTGTTTATCTGCAGTCTTCTCTTTTACATAAAATCAAAGTCCAGAACTTATAAAGCTTGTCTGAGAGTTCAAAAAAAGGAGGCGGACAGCTGAAGTTACACTCTAAAGAGCTCAGTGAAGAGAGCTGATTGGAGGGAAGGAACACACACACCCTCCACGAAGCTCCCAGGAACAGAGCTGAGGCTGTCAATTTGCTGGAGGTCCTTCCCCATCACCATTTTTCTCTTGGTGTCAGGAAAACTTGTCAGAAGTCATTCATGCTGATAGCAGAGGAATGAAGCAGCACACAGAAATGACCATTGGCTACCAATCACTGCAGAGTCATTTTTATTTGGCAACCTGGTTGGTAGACTTGCAGTAAGATATGAGGATAAGTGGCACAAAGAAAGCAGAGCCTTTGTATGTAACTAAGCAAATATGGCTGAAAAATACCGTACATGGACTAGTGGGTTCAATACATCACCTTTATAAAATGTGTTACACCAGTCTGAAGACTAGTAGGTGACAAGATAGAAGTCTGACTATGCCATGTTGCTGGCGGGGTCTAGCACGCCCATACACCAGGGCTACCTTTTGCTTGAAGGCATGTTCACCGATGCCCGGGGCCAGGCAGGAACTGTGGTCATGTGCAAAGTCTAACATTGTGGCAGTTTCCCGAGATGAGATGAGCTAACACTGCAAGTTGTATGAAGCCGATTGTCCCTTTCAAGAGTGTCCCCTTGCTCTAATTTCAGCACTGTATTTGTATTGCATTCAGGGAAGTGGGCCTGACCACGTTGCACCCACCACCAGTCATCATACCTTTTGTTACCTTGCTCCCAGTAACAGAATGAAACCCCGACAGACACATAGCGCAGGTCTCATACGTGTCCTCAGTCTTCCTGCTCTGTACCTGTTGGCCAGGGTAAGGGCCTCTGTAACGCTGATCTGCTTTCAGTTGTCACAGGAGATGGACCGCTAGGGAGGGAGCCCAGATGGCGCCCCCTCACTACCAGAGGAACCCCCACCACAGCCACGGCGCCACAACTGTACTGATTGCTTGAGACTCTGCAATGTGAACTTGGTTGCTTGTAGCAACAACCTTGTTCTTCATTATAGTGCTCACTTGACACTGTAGTACTGTGTATTTCATACCCCTCTAGTGCTATTACAGACCCAGGTTCTTTGTATACACCATCCTCATTATGCACCCCTTTGAATAACTTCAGACCAGGCTTAAGGACAAGTTTAATAGTCTTTACCAGACTCTGTTGTACACAACGTGGCACCAGAAAGAAGAGCAAACATTTCCTTCCATAGCCCTAACTGTCTATCAAATGGCCCAGGCATACCTTTTAGCATAAGAAGTCCATACATAGTGGCAAAGGCCTTTGCTGGGTGCATGGTCCATGGCTTTTGTTATCATGGGATACAAGGAGGAAGAAGTCCTTGTAGAGCAGGTCAGAAATGGAACACACCGGCACATGCAGGTATACAGCAAAACCCCAGGGCCATTGGCCTCAGCCTTCCCCCTGATTTATTTCACAGGTGGGACAGATGAAACTCAAAATGCCCAGGAAACTGGTATAAAGACTTTACCCTACCAAACCCAGCCTGGCCTAGCACCTGTCTAGCTAAGCAGTTTCCAACCTGTTTACAAGTTAATCTCTTTCATAAGTATTCCTTAATTAGACTAAAGTTCTATTTGAACAGAAACTCGCAAAGCTTCCTGTTTGCTTACAGTCATAATTATAATAAGAATGCATTCTGGTGTTGTATGATAAGAATAAGCAATGGTGTGACATTGCTATACAGAAGTAAAGTCTTCAGCTTTAACTATCAAAATGCCCTAGGCCTGTTTTTTTTCCCTCAATTTCCTTAAGTCCCACAGCATTTTTTTATCGTTTCTGAGGTGCCTTGGTTTGGCACCTTCTTGCATTGGTAGTTCACACCAACAAATTGTATCTATATTTCTGAAACAGATAGAGATTTAATTTGGTAGCGGGTTTAAATACATCAATTTTTATTTCTTAGTTTTTTTTATTGCGAAGAAATAGTGAAAAACTAGGGAAAATGCATTTTCCTTTTTTTTTCTAAATGCAACATTTGCAAAACGTACACACCCACAGGCACTTACCCCAAAATATAACCAACAAAGTCTATTTATTAAAAATATATCACGTACAAGATAACTTTATTCTCTTGATTCTACAAAGGAAAAACAATCAGTCTGCTCAATAACATCCGGGATGGTTGATCCAAGAATATCCAATTGCCTTCTGGAGGAAGGCAATTGGATATTGTCAGGGATGCGGGTGTGACCAGAGGTGTGTGTACTGACACAGGGAAATGCAGGCTTCAGGTATGGTATAAATAAGACAATTTATTAAGACTAACAATACAAATATAAACGCAGTGCACCAAACCCCAAGCTAACACAAATACATACAACAAGGTGAAACAAACCCAAACCTAAACTGATATAGATACACAGGTACATACACATATAGAGCACAACGTAGTCAGGCAGGCCGGGTCGATAACTATCGGGCAGGTAGGTACAGGAGGAGCAGGCGGAGAGTAGTCAGGTCACGAGCCGGGTACAGCAACTAACGGACAGGTAGGTACAGGGGGTCAGGCAGAGAATGGTCAGGGTCACAAGCCAGGGATCAAACAGGAGAAGTCAGCAGAGGTCAGGATCAGGCAGGGTCGGCAACAAGTCAGGCAGAAACAGGAACAGGAATGCAGGTTACAAGATACAGGGGCCCAAGGAAAAACACACACCAAGGCACAGACTGCAGGTCTGGCCCTCCCTTAAATACACCACCTGCAATCAGCCCCAGGTGATGGCTAATTGCCGAAGTGAACCTCTGGTTGTTGAGAGCACCCGCTGGCCAGCCCTGGTACTGCAGCCCACAAGGCAGGTGAGTCCCACCACTATTGGCAAGTCCATTCCTGACAGTACCCCCCCCTCAAGGAGCGGCCTCAGGACGCTCCAAACAGTCCTAGCTGGGCAAAATGTTCCACCGCCCGGGTCCGGTGACTGGCGGGATATCAAAGACTGGCACATCGGGGCTGGGCACCGGACGGAGGCACTTCGGGCTGGGCACCGGACGGAGGCACTTCAGGCTGGACACCGGATGGAGGCACATCAGGCTGGATGCCGGATCACCAGGCGGAGCAGCGGGCTCCGGGCCACCAGGCGGAGGAGCAGGCACCGGGCCACCAGGCAGGGCGGCGGGCACCGGGCCCCCAGGCGGAGCGGCAAGCACCGGGCCACCAGGCAGAGCAGCAGGCACCGGGCCCCCAGGCGGAGCGGCGGGCACCGGGCCATCAGGCGGAACGGCCGGCGCCGGGCCACCAGGCGGAACGGCGGGCACCGGGCCATCAGGCGGAACGGCGGGCACCGGGCCACCAGGCAGGGCGGCGGGCACCGGGCCACCAGGCGGAACGGGCCGGCGCCGGGCCACCAGGCGGAACGGCGGGCGCCAGGCCCCCAGGCGGAGGGGCGGGCGCCGGGCCCCCAGATGGAGCGGGGGGCACCGGGCCATCTGGCTCGACAGCGGGCATCGGGTCACCAGGTACAACAGCGGGCACCGGGTCATCAGACATTGGATCGTCTTGCTCGACCGCGGGCACCAGGTCATCTGGCTAAACAGCGGGCACCGAGTCATCTGGCAAGGCAGTGGGCACCGAGTCACCAGGCGTGACAGCTGGCTCTGAGTCAACTGGCACGACAGCGGGCATCGGGTCACCAGGTATGACAGCGGGTACTGGGTCATCAGGCATTGGATCGTCTAGCTCGACAGCGGGCATCGAGTCATCAGGCACGACAGTGGGCATCGGGTCACCGGGCATGACAGCGGGCACTGGGTCATCAGGCATTGGATCGTCTGGCAAGACTGCGGGCACTGAGTCATCTGGCAAGACCACGGCACCGAGTCATCTGGCAAGACCGCGGGCACCGAGTCATCTGGCAAGACCACGGGCTCCGAATCATCTGGCAAGACCGCGGGCCCCGAGTCACCAGGCACAACAGCGGGCCCTGAGTCAACCGGCCCGACAGCGGGCTCCGAGTCAACTGGCGGAACAGCGGGCATTGAGTCGTCTGGCAAGACTGCGGGCACCGAGTCGTTCTGGCAAGACCGTGGGCACCGAGTCGTCTGGCAAGACAGCGGGCTCCGAGTCAACTGGCAAGACAGCGGGCTCCGAGTCAACTGGCAAGACAGCGGGCTCCGAGTCATCTGGCGGAACAGCGGGCACTGAGTCGTCTGGCAAGACTGCGGGCACTGAGTCGTCTGGCAAGACTGCGGGCTCCGAGTCGTCTGGCAAGACAGCGGGCATCGAGTCATCTGGCATAATAGGATCATCAGGCTGGATCAGTTCATTAGGCTGGGTAGAGACATCATGCTGGGTAAGGACATCATGCTGGGTAAGGACATCAGGCTGGGTAAGGACATCAGGCTGGGTAGAGACATCATGCTCGGTAGAGACATCATGCTGGGTAGAGACATCAGGCTGAATTGTGGGCGCCGAGGCACCAGGCTGCACCACGGAAGGCAGGTTCTCAGATGGCAGGTTGACCGGTTTGGATACTGGCAGGATGGTATTGGTTGGAAAGAATTTTCGCCTTTCCTGGTTTTAGTTACCGGAGCACTGTAAGTAAGCGCAGGTTTGTAAACGGATGGAGCAGCTGAAGACAGAGAAGAGCTGGAGGATGGAACAGAGGAGGGAGCAGTTGCTACAGAGGACTTCTTTACAGGGTTAATGAAAGGATAGGTGCAGCGAGTGGGAGCAGAGGACTGATATGTGGTAGTTAGCAGAGTATACTGGGCCATCACTGGGGTTGCTGTCGGGGATGCAGGAAGAGTGCCTTGAGCGGAGGAATGACGTTGTAAGCTGACTGAGGATGGGTGCAACAAGTCTGACCATGTCTGCAGTATGGTTGAACAAAGCCTGTCTGGTCAAAGACTGCCCTGCGTTTATACAATCCCTTAATTCCTGTTGTGAACATGCAGCATAATTCTCCAAGAAGCAATCCACATCATCCTCTAATAACCATACCAGGGACTCTACCTGGTCTGCACTAAATGGTGGCAAAAAGTCATTCCTGCTTTCAGGGGTACCAGATGAAGCCAACTCTGCACAAACCTGAATCAAAGGTTGCACCTCAGAGAACTCTGTGCCCTGATCTACTAGAACATGAGCGACCCGTATACATTCTAGCAGTTGATCCCGGGTATACTCCCTCAGAGTCTGATAAGCATATTCTCTGTCATCAAAAACCAGCAGCGACAAATACACAACCTCATCAAGATCCATCCTTCCCAGCAACAAGCCAAGATGGCTTCCCTGTGCAGCCACTTCTGGTCAGGATGGCCTTGGTGTCATGTCAGGGATGCGGGTGTGACCAGAGGTGTGTGTACTGACACAGGGAAACGCAGGCTTCAGATATGGTATAAATAAGACAATTTATTAAGACTAACAATATAAACATAAACGCAGTGCACCAAACCCCAAGCTAACACAAATACATACAACAAGGTGAAGCAAACCCAAACCTAAACTGATATAGATACACAGGTACATACACATATAGAGCACAACGTAGTCAGGCAGGCCGGGTCGATAACTATCGGGCAGGTAGGTACAGGAGGAGCAGGCGGAGAGTAGTCAGGTCGCGAGCCGGGTACAGCAACTAACGGACAGGTAGGTACAGGGGGTCAGGCAGAGAATGGTCAGGGTCACAAGCCAGGGATCAAACAGGAGAAGTCAGCAGAGGTCAGGATCAGGCAGGGTCGGCAAGTCAGGCAGAAACAGGAACAGGAATGCAGGTTACAAGATACAGGGGCCCATGGAAAAACACACACCAAGGCACAGACTGCAGGTCTGGCCATCCCTTAAATACACCACCTGCAATCAGCCCCAGGTGATGGCTAATTGCCGAAGTGAACCTCTGGTTGTTGAGAGAACCCACTGGCCAGCCCTGGTACTGCAGCCCACAAGGCAGGTGAGTCCCACCACTATTGGCAAGTCCATTCCTGACAGATATTTTCTTTAATTCCCCTAGATGAAATGTAGGTATAGGATTCTGTACATGGAGATTTTCTATGTATTTTTTTTTTTTTTTTATTGGTTGAACTAAATGGACTTGAGTCTACCTGACTATGTGACACTAACTGGTTGCCGACCAGCCACTGTATAAAAACGGTGACAGGGCGGCACCGCTGCGCAAAATCACGTTTTAAAACGTGATTTTGCAAAACAGGTAGGGGGCACGCGAGAGGCACGTGACCGCTCTATCCGTGCTGCCAAATGCGGCTGCAGGTGTCAATCATCGGGTCCTGGTCGGTCATTACCCGCCGGGTCACGACGATTGCCGGCAAACAATGAAACATTCCCGGCACCTGCCAGCACCTGCGTTTAACCCCTACGATTACCTCCCCCTCCTCCCCCAGCAAGTGCAGTGTCAGAAGGTCACTGTCACTTGATACATTGCACACAAAACCGCAGTGTTCACAGAATCAGGCCTGATCTTTGTTAGCACTTGTCGGTAAATTTTGATGACTCTCATATGCAGCAGAGTGCCAGTACTAGTGCCACGCTACCTTTTGGTGAACTGGCGACACCAGCGGTCTAGTACATCCTGGTCTTTCACATACCTCTTAGATTGTAAGCTCCCAGGATCAGGCCCTCCTAACCCTCTTGTATTGAACTGTATTGTTGCTGTATTGTCTCCCGTTATATTGTAAAGTGCTGAGCAAACTGTTGGCACCATAAATCCTGTATTATAATAATAATACCAGCACTGCAGTATGACTTGACGAAGTGGCGAGTCCCATAAGTGTAGTTCAAGCTGGTGTGGTGGCGAGCACAAGTATTGTTCGGATTTACGAGGGAAAAGATAGTCACGTGGAGCCCCCCAGATGCCCAGAATACATGGGGAGCAGTGGCAAGATAGTTTGGGACTTGGTGTCATCCTTCTCCATATGGGGTACCACTTATACGTGGACAATTTTTATTCAAGCGTGCCACTGTTTAGACAATTGTACAATCTTGGAACTGGCGCATGTGCCAAAGTGTGACCTAATGTGTGCCCACCCTTAGAAGTGGGTGGATGCAGGGCGGTATATTCCAATGGTGCGCACACCACACACTTTTTCTGGCAGAGATTTCTTCTCTTTTTTTCATTCAGTCCACAGGCTGCATACAAAAAAAAAGAGCAAAGCATGTACAGTAATACCTTGGTTTACAAATAACTCTGTTAACGTAATTTTTGGTTTACGAATGAAAATCCATTGAAAATAATGCCTCGCTTTACAAATGTTTTACTCACTTTTTTTTACAATACTAAGTGCATGACAGTGCTGATTTTTAAATGCAATTGCCGCCTTTTTTTTTTCTTTGGTATAGCTTGCAACATTAGCTGTCAGTTTCCCAGAGCTAAAGGATACTTTTTATATTTTAAGAAACTGAAAGGAAACATTGTATGTTTTAACTTGGGGAAATAAACTTTTTCTTTTTCAGCTGGAGGGGGAAAGTAACTGCTGAATTTCTGAACTACTGTATAGTGAAGGGAAAAAAAAATACGGTAATTACATTTAAAAACTGGCACCTGACAGCTGAGTGAATTACCTGCAATTAAAAAATTTTTTTTTACATTGCAATATTAACCCATGGTTGTCACTACTAAAATATTGCACGAGTTAAAATAACTCATGCAGTATTTTAGTAGCGTTTACTGTTTTTCTGACCTGATGAACGGATTAATTGGTTTTCAGTGCATTCTTATGGGAAACAGTGTTTCGGTTTACGAATTTTTCTCTATATGAAATATCCTGCAGAACGAATTAAATTTGTAAACCGAGGTACTGGTACATCACTGGACTTTGAATGGTTATACCAGGATGATGCCTACAGCTGCAGGCATCATCTTGGTATCGTTTTTTTCAGCCGGCGATCGGCTTTCATGTAAAAGCAATCCTAGTGGCTAATAAGCTGCAGGATTGCTTTTACAAGCAGCAGAAGATGATGCACCCCCTCCCCCACTGCCTTCCACGGCCTTCTCGGGCAGTCCCCGTGCCATTGGGGGGAACCTGAGAATGCAGCCGGTGTTTCTGCCAGCTGACCATAGAGCTGATTGGAGACCAGAGTGGTGCCAATCATCTCTATACTCTAAAAAATCAGAAGCTACGAGCATTTCATCACTTCAGTTTCGCAGGATATAAACAGTGCCATTTGTAAACTGGGAAAGCATCTGATCACACCGATAAGGGCAGAGGAGATATCTAGAGTCTGATAGACCCCAGATTTCTCAAAAAAGAATATATGACAATGCCCACTGACGTTATAGGGGATATTTGCATTCCCTGTGATAGCATTAAAAGTGCTAAAAAAAAATGGGACAGTGTAAAAATAATAAAAAAAAAATCAAAATAACTTAAAAAAAAAAAAAAGGACCCTCGCCCCCCTGCACACGCGCATCTGCGTTCGTGAGCATTGACCCTGTGCCAGTATGGAAACAGCGGTTGCACCATGCATGTGAGGTATTGCCATGAACGTCAGATCAAGGGCAGTAATTCTAACACTAGATCTCCTCTGTAAATCTAAAATGGTAGCTTGTAAAGGCTTTTAAAATGTTGCCTATGGATATTAAAAAAAACGTATGCAGTTTGTCGCCATTGCACGGGGCATGCGCAGTTTTAAAGCATGTCATGTTTGGTATCTATTTACTCAGCATACCATCATCTTTTATATTTTACCAAATAATTGGACAATATTTAGTGTTTTTGTGCATTAAAAGTGTATTTTTTTAAAAAAAAAATTGCATTTGAAAAATCGCTGCGCGAGTACTATGTGACATAAAAAGTTTAGCACCCACTATTTTATTCAC